GAAAGTCGGGAGGACTATGTCCTGTGAAGTATGGAACGCAGTAAGCACCTTTGGTCGGAAATCTGCGCTTGGCCGCAGCATCACCTTATCAGGGTGAAACTTTAAATATGGGGGATCTATTCGCAGGGCTTGTAACTCCCCAACCCTACGAGCCGAAGTAATGGCGATCAAAAACGCGACCTTGTGTGTCAAATGAAGTAATGAACTCCTAGCCAGTGGTTCAAACGGAGCTGCCATCATCTGCGTTAACACCAGTTTGAGATCCCATTGAGGGAAGGGAGGCCGCATTACAGGGAACTTGTTGTACAATCCCCTTAAAAACCGTTTCGATAAGGCACTGGAAAATATCGGCTTGGATTCAATTCCCAAGTGGAAAGCCGATATGGCTGCAAAGTGAACCTTAATGGACGAAGGGGAAAGACCCTCGTCAACTAGTGTCAGGAGGTATTCAAAGATCTCCATTAAAGGACAAGTGTCCGGGCGAATTTTACGGTCGTGCGCCCAAACCGTGAATCGACGCCATTTGGCCGTATAGGACTTCCACGTGGAGGGCCTACGAGAGGCTAACAATATCTCAGTTACTCTATCGGAACAAGTATCTACGTGGAAATGAACCATGCGTGTAGATTTAGGGTGTGGGGGGCAGGGTGGCGAGTCTGTCTTATCCGTAACAAGTCTGGAACTTGCGGCAATGGATACCCCTCGCCCCTGGTTAACGTTAGCAGCAGCGGGAACCAAGGCCGACGGGGCCATAGTGGAGCTATCAGTATGCACGCTGATCTGTCGTGTGCCAGTTTTGTCAACACTCTCGATAAGAGGGGAAGAGGTGGAAAAGCATAAAACAGGGCGCCAGTCCACCTGAGGAGGAATGCATCCCCCAGACAGTTGTCCCTCCTTTGTGACCTGGCACAGAACAGCGGGCACCTCGCGTTCGCCATCGAGGCAAAGAGGTCCACCTCCGGCCAACCCCACTTCTGAAATATGGGGATCAGGTACGTGAACGGGAGGGACCACTCGTGGACCATGAGAGATGTTCTGCTGAGTATGTCTGCTAGGCTGTTTTGAGAGCCCAGAATGTGAATCGCTGAGAGGTGAAACCCTTGTCGAATCGCTAATTCCCAAATGAGGGAAGCTTCCTTGCATAGGGAAAGGGAACCTGTACCACCCTGCTTGTTGACGTAAAACATCGCGACTGTATTGTCCGTAGCTATTTGGATAGTCTTTCCAAGGCCGGAATCTGTAAGAGAGAGAAGGGCGTATCTTATCGCTCTAAGCTCAAGTTTGTTGATATGAAACTTAGATTCCCTAAGGGACCAAAGGCCCTTCACCTGTATGGACCCCGAGTGTGCTCCCCAGCCCTCTAAGGAGGCATCTGTAAAC